GACAGCAAGCGGGAATTCGCTGTGTGATGCAGGGTGTTTGGCCTGGTACTCTGTAATGGCCTAGAGGGCTGGGATGGGAGTGGAGGGGTGGGGGAGGGTTTGGGAGGGAGGGACATGTGTGTGCCTGTGTGGCTGATTTGTGTTGATGTGTGGCAGGGGCTGGCACAGTACCGTGGGGAAATTACCCTCCAATTAAAAAAAAAAAAATCATCACAAACGCTCATAACGATGTTGCAAACCATGTGCTATTTTCAATCCCTCACAGGTGAAGTGGCAGAGAGAGAGATTATAGTTAGGAAGTGGACAATAGGGATTTAAGCCCAGGAGTCACATCCAACGCTTGTCAAAACATCACATAAGGCCTGTGAGAACAATGACTGTACTGACTGCAAAGTGAGTGGGGTTTTGCCCCAACAAATCAAAAGCTCACTATTGAAAAACTTAGAGGGAAATTTAACAAGCCCATGTGCTGCCTCTAGATGAACACAGCAGCTTGTGTGTCAACCTCCTTGCCTACATGCCCCTGCCACACCCACCTTAAACCTCTTGTGCCAGCAACCCACACACTTCCAGTGCCTCTGATTCCCTTGGTGGCAGCAGGTGAGGTTTTTTATTTTCACTGACAGTGTGTTTCAGGTATTTTTAATATAACTGAAAACAACTTTCACAAGATCTTTCCCCAGCAATGGCAGTATAGTAGATTAGAGTCCTTGTTAAAAATAAGTTGGAGATCACCAAGAAGGGGTGCTTAGTTGCTCAGTCGTGTCCGACTCTTTGTAACCCCATGGACTGTAGCCTGCCAGGCTCTTCTGTCCGTGGGGGGGCTCTCCAGGCAAGAACACAGAGGTGGGTTAACATGCCCCTCTTCAGGGGATCCTCCCAACCCAGGGATTGAACCCAGGTCTCCAGCATTGCAGGCGGATTCTTTACTGTCTGAGCCACCAGGAAAACCCAAGAAGGAGTAGTAAATGGTAACATGAGCAGGAAATTTATGCTCCCATCTCTGCTCTGCTCATGACCTGACAACCAGACTCTCTCTAGGAGTAGTGGCAGGACCTTTGTTAGAAAGCGAGATGGGAAGAGAAGTAAAGGCTCTGAGAGACAAGGCTGGGGCCAATGACAAGTAAGTCTGAGCTATGGAACATTCACCCTGCTGAGCCTTTCTTTACATACCTGATTTCATGTAACCCTGACAAGGTAGGTAATTTATACATATATATATGAAGTTTCAGACAGTGTCATTTGCTCAAGGTCACATAAGAGGACAGACCTAGGATTCAAAGCCAAATATGCCAAGTGTTCATTCTCAACCATGACCCTGTATTGCACCATACACTACACATTCAAGAGGTAACAGAACCTAGCTCAGAAGTAGCTTGGATTTGGAGATAAGTAGTAGAGCTTTCCTGAAGGGCAGGACTGACCTCAACGACCAAGTAAATTAATTTTAAGCAAACTGAAAAAAACACAGCAACATTTTCTGTGGCCAGAGAAAAGACTGTCAAGGTCCAGGGTGAAAGACTTCTAGATGTGACTGCAAATTGACTACAGAATGGCCTGCAGTCCAAAGATGGCTTGGTACCTGCTAGAGAGGTCTTCTTCACCCACAGGGCTGGAGACCAGGGTCAGGTGCAAAGGGATATGAGTGGCTCACAGTGGGGAGGGGCGTAGCAGGGGGTGAAGGCAGAACCTAAGAGATCAGTGGGTATCAGTGTGGAAAAGGCTGAGCATTCCAGGCAATCAGAGTACATCTCAGGCTGACACCCAAGTACTGGATCCAGCATTTCTTCCGGGCAGAGAGGCAAGGTGTATCTCGAAAGGCCAGAATGCAGTCTTCTGAGAAGGCAGTGATGGGGTTACAACTGAGCAAGTCAAATCCATTTGCACTCCAGGACAAAGCTGGGCTGACAACCAAAATGATTTTCAAAGGTTTCTCTGGCTAACCAGAGGGTTTTCTTCTTTTGGGGGTCTACTGTCTAGCTCCTTCCTAGAAGTGATTCCTAAAATGCTTAAACATGGAAGAAGAGAGTGTTTGCTTTGCCAACTGGGAGAGAGAGAAGACAAAGTAGAAACTTAAGCCTTTCACTTCTCCCAAACCCAGGCTGTCTTCCATGAATCAGCTTAGACTATGTGACTTCTTGCAGGAAGCCTGTGAACACCTGAGCCTGTCAGGTGCTTCTCCTCTGCAGACCTGACACCAACTGCCTGCTTGATGGCCACGATGAACTGAGCACACGTGGGCAGAGACGAGCCCTGGGTCTGGAACAGAAATGCTCCAGGGGCTTCACAAATGGTAGCTATTAAAGATCTCAGTCTCATATTTTTCTGAATTCTCTTCTGAATGCCCTCCTGTCCTAGAATAATCTTCACACACATAACTTAAATACATGAAGTAACATTGCACCAAGGAGGCCTGACTTAGCTGCTGCAATGTTTCATGGTGTAAGGTTGGCAACAGCTTCTTCAGGTGTAATGGACACTCATCCAGCTGCTTTCAGCTCTGAGTCGAAGGGGAGCATGCACCTAACATCTTCTCACGCCGGCCCTGGGCTGGTGTAGAGGAAAAGTCCTGCTGACCAAGCAGAAGGCATCAAATTCTACCGTTTCCCTCTCTCTAAGGTGGGTTTAAGATACCAAGGCTCTTCTGTCTCCATAGCAACATAAGCTTCTCCAGCATATTTTATTCTTCCTTAATTTTCTTGAGTGAAGGTATCACTAAAATTAAGTTTCTGAATAAGTCATATAAAAAATACAACCACAACTATCACAGCCATTTATTAAGTGCTTGCCAGGCACTGTGCTAAAGCTTTACAATCATTGTTTCCATCAATTCATCAGCCCTGAGGTAGATATTTTCAACACCCACTCCCTCTCCCTACACACATATCATTAATAGTTGAGGAAACTTGAGGCTCACAGAGGTCAACTCAATCAACAAGGTCCAGCCCGGCCAGTAGGTAGAACTAGAGATCTGAACCAAATACAACATCCGATTCACAAACCCATGCTTTCATACACTACACTCGATTGTTATGCTGTTTCTCACTGGAAGTTAAAAGATACATACTCCTTCCTAAAACATCACCTGAAGACCAGATTTAGGTGGGGAAGGCAAGGCCCTATTTTTTTTTTAAACTCCTCTAACCACCTATTGTACTAAACACCTGGAGGAGTGAAGTGCCAGTCTGGCTATATAAGCTGACCACTGGGTCCCTGTCTCCTGCTACCCCGGCTTCCGGCGTCTTTCTTGTCTAAGACCTTCCACTCCTGACACATGACTACTCAGTGTGCTTTCTCCCTCTCAAACACTGAAACGCAGAAGTGAGCCAAATTTGGTGACTCGGATCATCACCAAAGATACCTGAGAGAAATCGGGGGACATTCGCAAAAGACCCACCATCCCTCAACTGCTGGACCCTAAGGCATACGGATCCATGTAGACAGAAACACAAACTTCAGTTCTTCCCTCCAGGCTTGCCAGGCTCAGCTCCACTCCTGGGGAGTCTCCTGCTCAATCTCTACTCACTGGTCCTCCACTGTCCATGACTCTGGATTCCCTCCTCTCACTCCTCACTGGAGGTCTCACTAACCACAGGCCCCTGGGACTCAAGGCTGCCCACGTGTGAGGTTTTGTCCCCCAGAATCACACCAAAAGTGCTCAGCAGGGCTCTGCTGAGGACCCTAAACCCTATAAGGATTGAATGGAGCTGGCTGAAGACTAGCAGAAAGGGCTCCCAGAGTGAGCAAAGCCAAACCAGGATGTGCAGACATGACAAAGGAATGGATGGCAAGAGAACACAGCAGACAAACAGGTACACAGAATTACTGCAGATCAGAAAAGAAAGATGAAGGGACCCTAGAGAAAGTCAATCCAAACACCTGCAGCCAGGGATCTTCTGAGAAAGTGACTGTTTACAAAAAGGACTTTGGTGAAGGGACTGCTGGAGAGACTAGGTAGGAAGAGGATGAGTAGGAGAAACTGGGGGAGGGGGTACTCTGGAAAAGGAAGCTGGAACATCTCTTTAGAGCAGGCAATTTGAGAATACCAGAGAAGCAGGCTGGGACTGGGGTGTTGGGGCAGTGGGGGAAGCACTAGAGGTAACAGAAAAAGGCAAGATGACACAGGCAGAAAGCCCAGGGCATCTGGAAGTCCACAAGCACTTCTTAAGTGTATCCCTATATCCAACTTGTTTGGGTAAAACTGACCACTGAGGACGCCTCTCTGCCGTCCTACCGACCTCTGCACTGGATTTTGAACGGTAGAAGACCCAGAAGTAGGGAAGTTACTAAGGGGAGAGACAGTCCTATCCACACAAATTCCCATTCTAAGGAGACAATGAACCACCACCACCGCCATCCCTGCCTCCAATCCCTGAGGGAGCCTCTGACCTAAGGAACCACCAACATGTAAGTCACAAAACTGAGAAATAACAATTGCTGCAAACACTGTCCATGATCTTCGAAGAATCAGAAGGATGAGACGAGGTGACATGGAGACATATGATCCAAGAAGGGACTCTTCACACTTTAACACTCAGCCTGTTAGTTCATCTCATCACCTGCTCACACACCAGGGCCTCCACATAGCTACAGCCACAATGACAAGTGAGGGGGGAGGCCCAGGGTGAAGCGTCCTCCCTGATGAGCCCAAGGACCGGGAGGAGCCCGGAGGCTGAGCTTTGCTCTCCACTCATCTTCTTCCTCTCTCAACAGCCTCTAATCTTGTCCTCACAGGGTGCATGACACATGGCTTCATAACCTCTGGGTATTTCGTGTGCTTTCCTCTCCAACTAAAGAGGCTCCTGGAGGATAAAACAGCAGGTTTTCTCCACATCCTTCAGTGTTGAAATCTAACAAATTGTCACAGGTGGGTATCTGGAGTGTTGATTACAAAAACATTTTCCACAAACAAGAAACACCATGTCAGAACCATTCTGTTGCTACTCTTTGCCCTATCGCTTGCGTCTGACACTCCTTGTTGGCTCACGCCTCTAGATGTCTGTTCCTGAATCTACCGCAGCCTGGGGACTGGGACCACCCAACCTTTGTTAAGAAATAACAGCTCAGCCTATGAAGAAAACAATGAAAGGGTATGTGGCCCAAGAGTCTCTGGGGGACAGAGGGAGGGTATCCTCACATTGGGTTGGCCCATTGATAAGGATCCTTCCCCTCTGTCTCCTAACAGATTCAGATTAATGATTGCTCATTCCTAATTGTCAAATTTCTTTTCCTTCATCCTGTGTCTAATCACCAGTGACAGAAACCATTACGCAAATGAGAGCAGACGACTTCTCCCAACTGTTCGCGTTGGTTAAAACCTTGTAATTTAGAGCTCTGATTTGTAGGAGAAGCTGGTCTCCCCCAGGCATCCTGGGCATCTGCTCAACTGATGCCCAGAACAGCCCCTCCTCCATACCCCAACTCCAACCCCCCAACAAATATTAGACTTCACAAGAGAGTGGTTTCCTCTGTACCTGCTGGTGTAAAAATAGGAGCATGCAACATGGCTGACCTCTATACAGGCCCAAACCCCCACCTTTCCCTCTTGTCTGCCCTCATGTTGCTAGTTAGGATAGGTGTAAGCAACAGGGCAGAGACGGTTCCTCTGCAACGAGCAGAATTTGTGCCTGAACAGCCCTAGCCTAGCTATGTGAAGGGAAGGGCCTCAATCTTTTCATCAGGGGAAACGCAGGCAGCAGAACATGAATCACAGTTCTCAGTGAATTTCCAGACCTAGATCTTCAACACTCCAGACGCACAAGCATGCTGGGAGAAGTGACCGGACCTATTCAAGGATACACAAGTCATCAATGGGATCCAGAACTGTTTTCCGGTAACTCATTTCAGAACTCTTTTAACTCCATAGTACGGCTTCCTGGCATCTTCTCCAAGAAGTGTTTGCTGGAGCCCAGAGAGCTTTTACCCTGAGCTGTATCTTCTGTATTCTTTTGGGCTAAGCCTGTCTGTAATAGATACTGCCCAGTGGGTAAGATCTGAGCAAGGCCTGTAGTTCAGAGGAGGTATGGTAGGAAAACCAACATAGTTTGCTGGAGAAGCACAACAGGGGGTTTGTAGCCCAATAGTACTAGGTTTGAATCCTGATTGCCACCAATCACTTACTCTTGAGCTGTAAAATGAGAATACCTACCTTGCAGGATAGCGAGGAACAAAGACAAAAGCACTTGCCACTATCAGGTGTCTTAATAGTCAGGGGTTCCTGTTATATTACCCAAGGATCAGGACCCAACCTGTGAAGGCCCCTCCACCTCAGTCAGACACGGGTGGGCACAGCACCCAGAGAAGATCAGCTGAGAGGACCAAGCCATCACCCACATCCTTGAGGAATGAGCCAGGAAGGCTGCAGACATGCTGAGGAGAATGAAAAGAATGTGCTATATTTCAAAATGTGAATGTGGTCAATTTATCCTTCTTCTGTCCTGTTTTCTTTGCTGTGTTCCTTTTTCCCAAAAGAGATGGAGGGATGGAGACCACTGCGGTCACATTTTCCAGCATTGGCTATATTTGAAAGAACTACATTTTAGAAGGTACCGTGTTTGAACACCCACACTGCATCAGAGAAACCCAGCATGGGGTACTAAAAATAAACACCCCACCCCAAAATACACACAGGTGCGCTCATGCACACACACGCGGCATCCTCTCAGTCCATCAGTGCACTGTAACTATAAACTGAGCTCTGGGGGTGAGAGCCACAGCTCAGACACTGGAAGTAAACCTTTGGCAAAAAAAAAAATGAACCCAGAGACTTCCAACTCCTTTTTCCTTCCAGAGAAGGGGCGTGGAGATGGGAGTGGAGGTGACAGGACGCAGGGCCACCACACTGCCCAACTCCAAGGGCCCCACTTCCACCACACAGGTGTGAATGACGGCCCTTTGAGTTGTGCAGTGCCCAGTGGCCCAGCTGTTAGCTGCAGCCCTGAGAGGGGTTCCCACAAGTAACTATGAACAGAAAAGGAATTCCACTCCATGCTCCACCAGTTGCCCTCACTTTTGAGGGTGTTTGTGGAACATTACAGTGGGGTCTGGCAGAGGTGCTGGCTTCAAGAGGCAAGGCCACATTTTTGCCCTTGCCACGAGGTGGATGACAGGTGGTGAGTTAGCTGCCTCGGCTTGACCCCACTTAGTCTACTTGAGCCAGGAAACTCCAGACATAGCAGAGGACTTGGCCTGGGCGGGGAGGGTCATAGGACCTGGAGGCTCTAGCCAGTCTCAGGCAGGTTGTTGCAGTGAGGCCTGACCATTATCCAATGGCTAAAAATGAGTTTAAAAGCTTTAGACCAGGTCAGGCAGTATTGCCTTGGAGCTCCCGCTGTATGTTCCATCGGACAAGGTTAAGCAGTAGAAACTTGGTAAGCAGGGAGACAGGCCAGTGTAGACACACATGCGCACACATCCACAAGAGGCTTGCACCCTTAGAACCTACAGAAGCCAATGCTAGAGGACTCCCCTGGCACTCAGGACAGAGAGCAAGAGCTGGTGCTGAAGAGAGAAGTTGTCTGTAAAACTCCTGTAATGTGGAAGTTCTGCACAATCCTTGGTTCGTTTGTCCCAAGGCGCTTTTCTGTGTATGGCTTGAGCTTGAAGGTCCAAGTTGGAATCCTGCCTAATGCGCTCTCCTAGGAAGCCATTGAGGCTCTCAGAGGGACGCCTCCCCCCCCCCCTCTCCCATTAGAGTCCCAGTAGCACTCCTACCAGCCTAGAGCCTCACTCTGTGAAAACTGGGAGGGGGCAGACTGACCTCACAGACAGGACAGCTGTGGCCCTGTAGCCCAGATGTGGGGGCATCCGAGAGCATCTCCTCTCTCTCAGGCTGAGGCACTGAGGTTCCAGGAGACAGAGCCGAGAGCCAGAAGTGGCACCCTGACCCAGAAGGAGGGAGCAAGAACAAACACATACACGCGTGTGCAGGCACACACACGCACACACACCCCGAGGTTGACAGGCTAACACAGACATGATGACAACCAGAAGCTGGGGACTCCACACACTGAATGCAGGACTTTAGGGGGCAGAGAGGGAAGGTGCTGGGGCACAGAGGCAAGGGTAAGAAGTCCCTCCGAACGGGAGTGGAGTGCCAACCACCCTGCCTTGCCCCAAACACCTGCCTCCAGGGCCATGGCAAGAGTCCAGTCCATTAAGTGCAGCGTGCAATACTAGCGCTTGGAGTCTCCTGTCCTCATCAATGAAGCGGTGTGGACGGGCTAGCAGTCACCTGGCAGGAGGCCTTGACTCCTGGCAGGCTAGTTGTATCTGCCCTTGATCATTGTGTTCAACAAGGGCCCCACCTGTGGAAAGACATGAGGAGCCAGTCAGAACTGTCTGTCCTCTAGCCCCAGAGCAGGACAGGGTGTGTCTGGAGACATCAATGTCTAGCCAAGGGCAAGGACAAGACTTTCATTCAATCTTGTAAGCCCTCTAATCAACTCTCTTCCTGGAGGTCAACCCAGTATTCTGGGGCATGGTCCCCTCCTCTGGGTCCATGTTGGATTACCTTCCCTCTCACAACACCCTATACACATAAGCAGCACCAAACTGACAGACACATGGTCAGAGGAGCTAACACTCCCCAGACACCTCAGAGTGTCTATCTGCGTGCTTCATAAATGCGCCTTAAGAATCTTAAATGCTTCTTTATCCTGAAAGGATCACTTGCAGTTGGGGCTGGTGCTCTCCCCCCACAGGTGCTATGGATGCAGAGGCTATCCACAGGACAGAGGTAAAGAGCATCACAAACACAAATCTCCCCCATTTATGCCATGGGCCACTGGCACACCTGTGTGAAAGTAGGTCTCAACATTACCTAGAGCAGCCTTGGCACAGCTGGGAGCATGCCAGAAGATGCTTTACTGCTCGCTTTCCGTTCCAGAAGAATCCCCTCAGGGGTCCCCAGCTGGCACACAAGCCCCATGAGGAACATTACTACTAGCATGGAACAGATTACAACTGATCTGCCAGTCAACCCCAGCTCTCACCAAAAAATCAAAATTTTCTGAACACACCCATAACCTCTATGAAGAGAGAGGACAACAGATACTGAAACAGACGAGCAATAGAGAACATGACACCAACCCTGACTTTCCCTGGTCACTCTGCCCACTGAGTCACAGGAGTGCCCCTCTGGGGTAGCCACATACCTCTTGTGGGTTCCCCAAGGCCTCTCCAAGCATCTTCTCAATGTTCCTCATGATGGCCACTTTCTGATGGGCTTTGAGAGGATATTCAATCCTCTTAGGAGTCGGGGCCCCCTGCAAAGTAAGCAGCAGCTCAGGAATGTCTTCAGCAGGCTCCAGAGTCACCCACTGTGCCAAGCACCACCCTCTCTTAGGAAACCCGTTCAACCCCAACCCTCTTCATCTCTCCAAAGACCCAGTAATCACTTCCAGGATAGCCAACCTCCCTGCCCTACCCCGAAATAATTCATCACACCTACCTCACCCCACTCCCATCTAGAACAAAAAACCATAGTCACCTTATACCAGAAGTTCACAGTGATGGTTATCCCCCCATTTAGTAATGACTCTATGTGATGCCACCTGCAAGAAAATAAACAGGTTGCTGTTTGCCACTAGTACTCTTCAGAGGGACAGATCCTCTGAAATTAGGTAGAGTGCAGCTAGGGGATATAAGGAAGACAGTATCTTCATACTCATCCTATTAAACACACCCTGGAGCTAGAGCGAGTGTGGTGTTTGCTCTTCAAATACCACAGAGCCAAGTTTCAAGCCTCTGGGGCCTCTTTGGACCAGAGGAACTGTTATCTCATCTAGAGACAGTGTTGTCATTTCCCCCACATTAAGTATGCCCATCATCTGGATATGCCAACCTTCCTGTACATCACATTAAGTCCAATCCTGCCACAACTCAAAAGAAGGGACATGGATAAGTCTTTCCAGGGAATGGGAAAGAAAGCTCCCCAGAAGCCCCCAATCCTAGCCCCATCCTCACCAGTACATTGGGATGTAAAGAACATCACCGGGGCCAACCACTGTTTCGTAACCAACCACGTTCTGGAAATTGGGAAACCTCTCGTAGTCAGGATTGTCAAAGTCCACCTGAGAGGTTCAAGAGGAAAAAAAAAAAAATCAGTCAATAACCAAATTTTTATCTGTTACTTTGGTAATCAAGAAAGATCCCTTAAAAAGTCTTGAGAATTTTTTTTTTAATCCAGCAAAAGACACAATACACATTAAACATATGCAAACTCTCTCAGAGAATGACATAAGAAGATGGGCACTGCTGAATGTTAAATGAATACTAGGCTTCGTGATCCTGAGGTCAAAAGCCAATCATCAAGGTTTACAGGTCAGAAATCTACTCATGGCCTGCAGATTTAAGGAATTAGGACTCATCTTCCAGCCAAACTTTCAGAAACTTTCTCCCAAACACATATTCTAACCAGCAAAGACTCCTACACAAGGCAGCTAAGCAGCTTTCTCCTCAAGGAAGAAGAGGAGCTCTCTGGTTGGCCACAAAGTCAACTACATACCTCACTGAGATCCAGAAAAGACCTTAAGTGACATATCTCAATTCTATTCATCCTTCTCTTTATCAAAAAGAAGTAGCATCTGTGACAAAAGTAAACAATCATAAAATCTAATGGAGACATACACATTTTGTTTCATGAATCTATAATCCAATCAAACAGAATAACCAGAGCCCACCAGCATCAGTGAGGGCTTTGCCCTGAACATCTGGGGACCGGCACAGGCCAGGAATATGTATGCTACATTTTGAAATTGTCCTCTGAGTTTATCAAAACCTGGCATACTGCCACAGAGAAGGGGGACCCATGCCCATCTTGGACCTCAAAGGAGTTCTAAACCCTCCTCGTATCACACAAGCTCACCTGGCTCTGTCTGTCACAGGGATGATGAACAGGATACGGGTAGAGGCACTCAAACTGATCCGGAGGGAACAAAATGCATCGCTTATAGCCTTTTATCTGAGCAAAGAAGTTCTGTTGCTCATCATAGTGAGCAGGTGTCACATTTCCTGTAGGAAGAAAGACATTTTCTTATTCAATACAGTAGCTCTACTGCACAGGATGGAACACAGGCTTCAATGTTACAGAGAAACCTAGTCGGCCCTCTCAGCAAAAGGTTCCAAATCAAAATCAGGGAGACTGTAATCACAACTCATTCAATTAGGTGTTACACTTTTTAATAGGTGATAGGTCTAGTAGCAAACATCACTGGCTAAGGGTTCACTATCAATTAGCAGAGTAGACTTCCTTAAATGATGGCTGCTGCCCTTACTGTATACAACTGCACATCAAAATGATACAAGCATGACAAAATAATACACTCCATACAGCTATGCCCTGCTTTTGGGAAGTTCACTTTATACCACTTTGCTTTTACCAAAGACCTATATTTGCACCTATTTTGCTAACTGAAAGAAATTAAAAAAGAATTTTCATTTTTACAAAGAAAAAGGCAAAAGTATCATTCAGTGTTTGCTCTGGAGTAAGCCATTACAGAGGCAGCGAGCACGAGCAGCAAGAGTGGCACTGCCAACCTCCTTGCCTGGAAACTACACTCAGCATCAAGCCACCATAGCTCTGATTGTGTCTGTGAGCATCTGTGCTTTATCTCTATTTACTTTGTGCATCCGTTAGCAAGATGCGCCCTAGGATGATTGCTTCTTTGTTTTACATCATCTTGGCTCATAGAAGGTTTCACAGGGATGGTCTGCTTTCAGACAGCTAGTGGGAACCTGTACTTGTACTCTTCTTGACAAGGGCACAAATTCAAGGGAAACACAAGCAAGAGTTAGAAATAGCTGAAATGACTGGTATCAGCAATGCATACATGCTCTTCTTTGATGGAGTTAACCAGTCTTTTTAAGTTGTATATATGTACTTACTTTGGGTAGCTCTTCTGGAGCTCACCAGGGGCTTTCCTGGTGGCTTAGACAGTGAAGAATCTGCCTGCAATGCAGGAGAGGTGGATTCGACCCCTAGGTCAGGAAAATCCCCTGGAGAATGGAATGGCTACCCACTCCAGTAATTTTACTTGAAGAATTCCATGGACAGAGGAGCCTGATGGGCTACTGCCCATAAGGTCGCAGAGTCGGACACAACTGAGTGACTAACACTTTCTGGAGCTCAAAGATTCTCAACCTTTGCTCCCACTTTAACACACCTGTTGGACCGCAACACTTCTTCAGATGAACACTGGAGCTGTTGACTCTCATGGGAGCCAGGGGAGCATAACAAACTCCTGAAGAGTGTTGTGTACTCCGAATAACGCAAATTACCTAAAATGCCATCTTGAATTATCTGCCCTTGTGTATGCATGCTCCTCTTTTTAACTGAGGCTGCATCTGACAGTTATAAAGAGCCCCAATGTTTCTCTGCACAGTCCCTGAGAGCTCAAGGGACCTCTGCAAGGCATGGAGTTTAGAAAACATTCCCCAGTCTGCCTGAGTGGGCCAAGACAGCCACTTTACTAGGTGCAGAGTCCATGTACATTCCTGAAGAAGACTTGCTCACTACCTGCTGGATCTGCTTTCTTGCCCTCTACCACAGGATAGAAAGGCAACATTCAGAGTCAAGTAAATAAGAACTGGCTCCTGGTAGGTCAACCAACAGTTGGCTTCAAAGGGGCAGGCTAAGGGTCAGTTCATAAGCTGTGATACTAGAAGCTTTCATTAATACTAGCAGTAAAAGATATAAATCTGGAGAAAAGACAATCAAAGGGGAAGAAGAGACTTCAGAGCCTAGTGGTGACTGATAATGAGTAATTACTGTGCTTCCTTGTTCAACTCAATTTACTCACCATTTACAAAGCGCCTCTACAATGAGCCTGGCACTAAGCTAGTGACAGAACTGAGACAAAGACCCGGGTTGGTAAATAAGTTTCTTTCTCCTCATTGGAGTTTAAAGGTGTCTCTTTTTAATTAAAAAAAAAAAGAAGAAGTATTCAAGTTTTGCTTATGTAAGTGTACAATCTTCTAGCAGGATACAGAAGCAGCTAACAACATTTGGTGCCTCCAGGGAGGGAATGGAAACTGGGAGGCTGGGAAACTGGAAAGTAAGAGATTTATCACTACATACTTATTTATACCTTTTGAATTTAACTCCAAAAATGTATTACCTGCTCAAAAGGTAAGTTCAATTTATATTTGAAAAATATTTCTCTTCTACTAGGATAAAAATCTGCACACATATCCAACAGAAAACAGCAGAATTTTAGAGAGATCTCCAGTATCTGAGTGTATGTATCCACAAAGCAGCTGAGGAAGGGAAAAGGGAACTTTCTTTTTAGAGTGCCTGAAGCTAGTTTAAAGATGTAACATATTAATCTCATTGAAACTTCATAGTCAATTTTAAGGTATTACTGTGTCTGTTTTACAAATTAGGAGACTGAGGCTTAAGAAAGTTACATGACTTGTTCAAAGTCATGGATCAAGTAAGTGGTGGGGAAAGGATTAGAAATTAGTTCATGTGACCCCAAGTCGTGCTGCTTTCTGAAAGATTTCTTACCTTCCATGCCAATAAGCAGCAGATTAGAGGTCAGCTGACCCCAGCCACGCTTTCCCTGTTGCTTATTAATCCAGTTCCAGTTAAAACCCAAGAAGTCCATGACAATCTTCCTGCCGACAGTATCATTGAGTGTTTGCTGTAGATACAACCTATGTTCCCCAAAAAGAAAATCCCATTAGTGCATGTACACACTGTCTGTGGCATGGCCTCCCTACACCTGGAAATTCAAACCCAAGCCCATACCAATATTTCTAAGAAAAACAGCTGCAGTCATGAACTCTCACAGAGCCAAATCCTCTCCTATCCTTCTTTGAGCTCTGTTCAACATCAAATTTTGTATTTTAAAGAAGTGATTCTTGGCTTTTCTGGGTTACATTATGAATCTTTTATGAATCCAAGAGGGGAAAAAAGTACCCAAGAGAGGTTCCCCATAAAAAGGCATATACACTGAACTTTCATTTAATTTCATAGATTCCTCAAAGCCTACCCATAGACCCTAGAATGACGACTCAGCCTGTTCCAGAAACTCTCAGGGCCTGAGAGGTCTCCTTTGGCCTCCAACAGCCATTGTGGCAGATTGTATTCCCTCCTTGTGAGAGTTATTCTCCTGCACCTCCTTGAAGTAAGGTTTGCTTATCTAACTTCTTTGACCACCAAGTTGTCCACAGAAGTGACTGGAGCTGCTTCCAAACTTTACTACCACCACATTACTTTCCCTCTGCCACAGCAACTGCAAAGTTTCAGATAGCAACTGCTGGAGCAATCTGGGTCCCAAAGTGGAAAAGATGACCTAAGAGAAAAGTCTCCAGGTGACCCAAGATGGACATGCAGCATGTGTGAAAAATAAACCTTTGTTGCTTCACGTTGCTGAGTCCTGGAATGAAGCCTAGTTTATCTTAACTGATTCAGCCACCTATCTGTAGCAGCCATCTGGAGCTGAAGGAAGAAACCTCACTAAACTTTCTGCAGACTCAGGGCCCCTAACACGCCTGAGGAAGGTAAGAAGTTACTTAATACATATGAAAACCCAAACATAGTTGCTCAAGTCCCCAAAGAAATATTATTTAGGAGGCAAACATGAAGGAAAAAAAGTAATGGTGCTAAAAACATTATTTCAAAAGGCTCAAAGGTATCTCAGTGCCTGATGATAACCATGATGTTTTAAAGCAACCTTAATTAAAAATTTTGCTAACTTGAAAAGAGCTACCTGTGTGGGGACATGGTATTCAAGACTTGAATACAACCTTGGAATGCTCCCCAGAGATTATGAAGTACGTATATTCACACAAATATTTCTCAAGTAACTCTGAAAGACTGAGAAACACTTCCCAAACAGGAATCTAAACAATTCCTCTGAAACCTTAACAGTAAATGCTCAAAACAGCTCAAAGAGGATCCTAATACCCTTTACCTCAGAATCGTAACAACTTATATCATTATACAATGGGGTTAGTTGATGCTAAAGTCAGCTGGTAGGGAAAAATCTGCAAACAGTAAAGAAATTTTCCTTAAGTCATCCACAAAGTACAGACTACACTCCTAGCTCACATTTAGGCAAAATGTTCTCACTATGGGAAACAAGAACGCTAAAATGACTGAGAAATCAGAAGACTCATATCTTATCTCATGCTCACTGTAGTGCATATGTTCACCCAACAGATTTACACTCCACCAGCATCATCTAAATCAACCTTTCTTCTCAATGTTGGTTGTGTGTGTATGTTTGTGTGTGCATGAGTACACACTGTGGTATATTTGAGGACATTAATGCATGAACGGATTCCACTGCAACAGTCTCTATAAGACATAAAGAACAAATCTATTGTAGTTCAGGTTCTAGAAACTCTTTTGGTCAAAGTTCCAACATTATGACAATAGCTAAGAGTTAGGAAGACAAAAAAAGGGAGGGGGGCAGATATTTCAAATCCTTTCACTCTGCCACATACTGCTAACAGAGTCTGAAAGAGAAATGGGACTGGAAACTGAAGAAAAGTCCCGGGTTGGGCACCAAATGTGAGATGGAGATAGTCAGTCACCATCAAGTACTCAGTGACAGCAATTCCCCAGGAGCAAAGTTAAAGCAGGACTGAATGCTGTCTGAGAACTATATAAGAGAAGGTCCTCATAAAGAGAGTTCAAAGGGAGAGAGAAGTCACTCCCCTATGTGTGTGGGTGTCTTGTGTTTGCTATTGTCAATATAATGCACAACATCAATATTCTCCCTACCCTCACCTATGCAACTTTTCAGCCTGCGCTGCCCCCATTCAAATATTTTAGGACAAAGGCTGCAAACCTGCAGTCTCAGGAAATTCACTGACATTTTAAACTGGCCTCTTGCAGCATTTTTAAAAACTTGAATTAGCTGCCTACATTTAAAGCTTAAATTTTTTTAAAAATAGAAATCCTGATTTCTAGCTTCTCCTGGCAGGAGATGGGGGAGGGAATCAGACTATCTGGCAACCCTGGGGCTGCACTCCAAAATGGAAACAAGAGTTAAGTAATGACTTCTCACTCTGAACAGGGCATATGCCTTCAGCTTCATCAGAGCTTTCACCCAAACCTTCACTCATTTCATTCACCTACTAGAGTCTGCTGCTGCTGCTGCTGCTGCTGCTAAGTCACTTCAGTCGTGTCCGACTCTGTGCTAGGCGAGTGTAATTCTCACTTTATGAAGACAACAAATTTGAGTCACACTTCAAGTCGAGTCATTCCATCATCCCTCCAGCTAGAGAATTCAGCCTCGAATAAATACAGGAAAGAAAAATGGATGCCCTAGATTCAATGGAAAAAGCCATGATCTCAGAACTTACCTCTCTTCACCTCCTCGCTGCTGTATATCCTGCAGTTTCTCGACAAACTCATAGAATTTCATTTCTTCCCTGTTGGACCTTGGCTTAAAGTTCTGGAAATTAGCCATCTTCTTCTCATCATAGTACAAGAACTTGTGGGTGCTGGCACTGTACACGGAGAAATCACCGTTGCCAATATTTTCTTGCAGGTATTCAAGGTCCCATTTTAGTGCAGGATACACAAGATTTGTGTCAGTCAGCACCACAGGCTCCTATATGGAAAAAACAAATCAAGTTGTCCCAAGGAGCTGGTGGGTTCTTGTCCCAAGATTTCAACTATTTCCCGACTTCAAAATAACTTCTGTTAATCAGCATGAACCCCGCAAGTTCCATTTCTCCTCGCTTTCCTCTCCATCCCCGCTTAGGCCCTAGTCCACAGCCCAGCCGGTCCCTTCCTTCTACCACCACTCGCCTTTGACCTCTCCTCCCAACCTGGTCCCTTCCCCCTCCCGCTTCGAAAGCGGCTCCGCCCCCTACCTCATTCTCGATAAGCTCCTCCGCCCGGGGGTCGCTTTGACTCAGACGCGGGATGGACCGGGTCGGGAAAGTGTAACTGCGCAGCTGGGACTCATCCCAGGCGGGGCCAGGGCCTTCAGCCTCTTCCCGCGGTTCTCCAGAGGCCGAGGACGCGGCCTCCGTTGCTGTCGCCGCCATCTCTACCGCTAGGGATGGCCCCAGCGGAAGCGGAAGCTGCGCCTATTCTGGAGTATAATACAACGGAAACCATAGAGATAGGCGGTAAGAGAGAGCGGCCCAAAGAAATTAAGAACGCCGGCCCGAGCCCTTTGGGAGTGCCTCCTAATGGTAACCGGTAACTCTACGCTAGGTAGAGCTTAGTTCTACTTCACTGAGTAGATTGGGCTAACCAAGTCACAAAATATTATTGCTTATGCGTCCAGGCCTACACAACAGGCAGAAGGCAAGTTTAGTGAGGCATTAAATTTTACCCTGACGGATGGGGGGAGACACAAACTTGACCCACCTAAGGAAGTCAGAAGGAAGAGCAGATGTCCAATACATAGATGTTGAGCAAAGTTTGATCTGAAGCCCTCTGCAAAAAAATGTATGGCAACTTGAATTCTTCTGAAATCAAAGGCGGGTTTTTTTTTGGTTTTTTTGTTTGTTTGTTTGTTTTTCTTCTTGGCACCATTTGCTTTCTCTATCTCACCTACTTAAAAGGCATTTTTGCCTTAGTCCAACTCTGTTTCTCGACTGAATTAGATCAGGGTTTGCTATTGATCGAGTGCAGATGTCCCCCCCCCATTCTGAACATCAATTAGTTGCTCATTTGCAAGAGGGCAAATTGCTGTAAAGTAATTCTCCCCCAAATTTCATATACTGAAGAGTATATATGTTTTTATTGCTCTGATATATATTTGGGAATGTCTATAATAATGGATTCTACTCCAAAACAGTGATCACTCTAAAAGTTCCTGGAAATATGTGCATGCATATACTGTAAATTATGCAAATCATACTTGTGTATGTGTAATAATGTATAATAAAATGTGTAAATAAAAACATTCATATGCGAACAATAATGCCCCTCCCATTCTTTTGTTGGGCTGTAAAGTGAAGTCGCTCAGTCGTGTCCGTCTCTTTGTGACCCCATGGACTGTAGCCTACCAGGCTCCTCTGTCCATGGGATTTTCCAGTCAAGAGTACTGGAGTATTCGCCAATTGTGGTTCGGCTCGAAGTGTGTTTATCCAAGTCTAGCAAATCTGAGGCGGGTTCAAACAACAGGACTGGTTTTATATTTGTTGGGTTGAGGTGACTGAGACATTCGGATGTAAACACGGGACTGAAACTGAAGAACCATTTGGGAGGCGGGGGATAATTCCCTGGTGGTCCAGTGGTTGGGACTCCTCGCTTTCAAGGCCAAGGGTGCGGGTTCAATCCCCGGTCGAGAAATCGAGAAATCGGGATCCGCCAGCCGCGCGGCCGAAACAAAACCACCAGTTTTGGGGGCCAATTTGCCTCTAACTGAAGGAAATAATTAATGTGGAAAACAAAACATGAACAAACAAGACCAAGCACTAAATTTGAAGAATGATCACGTTTGAATATGGAAAGAGGAACTGCCACTGAAGGAGAAGAACAAGGCAAGCAAGCAGTCAGAGAAGAGATTCTCTCTCTTCAGTCGCTACGTCGTGTCCGACTCTTGCGACCCCATGGACTGCAGCCTGCCAGGCTCCTCTGTCCATGGGATTCTCCGGGCAATAACACTGGAGTGGGTTGCCATTTCCGTCTCCAGTGGATCTTCCCGACCCAGAAATCGAACCCGGGTCTCCTGCATTGCAGGCAGATTCTTTACTGACTAAGCGATGAGGGAAGCCCTAGAAAAGAGATTAAACAGGCTCATTTTACTGTCCTGAGGGAGGTGGGTCAGCTATCCACCCGAGATGCTCAGGTTCCGAATGCCCGCTATTCCGGGAGGCGTCTAAGTCAGCAGAGGGAGAAAAAGGAGTCAACAATTAGAAATGTCAAAGCAGTGACCCGTTTGTTTTTCTGTCCTTCCCGCCTTGCCTTTCAGCCTCTATGGAACCGCTCACCATCCCTGTGGCTTCCCAGCACCGTTTAAGCCCCGCCCTTCCTTTAACACTTTTCTCCCTAACCGCGTTTGGCCCGGCTCAGCCGCCGTGACAATGTCTTTGCGCATGTGCGGGGTGAAACGGGAAGAAGGTGAAGATGGCGGCGGCCAGGGCTGGGGTCCTGGGAGTCCGGTGGCTGCAAAAGGCAGCCCGAGACGTCGTGCCGATGGGTGCACGGACAGGTCCGCTAGAACGGGCGAGGCCTCAGTGTGGGTGGGTGTGGGGGGGGTGCCTGAGGTTTATTGTGTCGGGCGCAGAGTGGATTTGGTGGGGTACCACGGCCACCGAGTTCGGGAAAGGGCGGAGGTGGAGTTGGGATAGCCACAGAAACGGAAGGAAGGTCTGCTGGTCCCTCGAAGCCTCGGGCTCTGACCTGAAGCCTCAAGCCTTTAGAGTGGCAGGAAAAATGGGGCCGCTTCTGACTTGCCCTCGTCTGCCCTGCAGCCTCCCACATTACCAAGGACATGCTCCCGGGACCCTATCCCAAGACCCCAGAAGAACGGGCTGCTGCCGCCAAGAAGTATAATATGCGGGTGGAAGACTACGAGCCGTACCCGGATGATGGCATGGGGTAAGATAGGGTCTGCTCGCACCCGGGTAGTAATGGGAGAGGTTCGGACTGGGTGGGTGGCTCTGCTCTGACCCTTTTCCCCGAACCTTTTCGTGACCCTTCAGAGTCAGTGGTGTGGGTACTTTTCTCGGTGGAGAGAGGTGGGAGGGAATGGGTGAGCAGCTGCAGTCGAGAGGACTTTAATTTTCTCCTTGGCTCGGATTGTTTCCTCAGATGAGGAAGCCGAGGTTTTAATAGCTCCCTTGAGGACCCCTGAATAGCGGGAACCTTCCTTGGTTCATCCAGAGAGCAAGGTTTCATTTAGATCGAGCATCTGCTGGGCTCAGGTGCTGTCTGTCATCCAGGCACGTGACCAGGCTGGAGCTGGACTCCTGTCATGAGAACCTTATTTGTAGATAGAGTACTCTATATTTATATGTGTATATTTGTATATATTTTTTTTAAATCGTTACTGTTAGCGTTGTGGAAATCTTAGCAATTTTTAAAGATTAAATAGCTAACTCTTACTCCAGTTGATGGTTTCCCCCCATACCCCATAACATCTCTGTGGTTAATTACCTGAATTGATTACTGTCACCCTCATTTTCTCCCTAGCATCACTCTTTCAGCGGTGGTTTCAGCAGCTCCTATTCATCTTGTTGTTTTCCAATCACTTCCTGTGACACATGTCCTAGTTGTCATCATTTCCTATGACTTCTTTTTTTTTTTCCCTATGACTTCTATTGTGTTGTGGACAAGAGCAGCCCCGGTAGCAGTCTGTATAAGTTGAACCTGCACTTGCTGGTGAAAAATCCAGCCTATCACGCCCATAAGGTGTTTGAGGCTTGAAGATGTATGTCAGTTTTGTGGTTGAGAAACACAGTTGCTATGAAGAGTGCTTCTCTCATCTATACCTTTTTGTTTTTATTCCAGTAGAACTGGGCAACCTTAGGTTCAGACTCTAAACTTCAATTTCTTTTTCTGTCTACTCAGGAAAACAGAGTGATTGATTGTTGAATTCCCTTCCCTTGCTAACATTATAACATGGCGTGACTTTTTTTCTTTTTGTTGAAAGACGATAAGAAAAGCTGACATATGTTAAATAATGTTTCAGAGTTTGACATGAATTTTTAATAACAATTTGGACTTCTGCAGTTAGCGTTGTGCTTAGTGAGTGAAAATTGAGATTTAATAAAACAATAAAATAGCAACTATTTTATTTTATTAATGATAATTTTGATACTGGAAAGCATTCAGGAAAATTAATCTCTTATACCATTTGCAGGAATATAAATTGTCACAGTTTTTCTGGGGGGATATTTGGGATACTTACCAGCTGCCCTTTAACCCAACATTTCTCAATATGTACACCACAGGAAAACACTGAGATCTTGATTGGAAGGTTAGTTCCTCTGTCCTTAGTGGAAAGCCATTATCTTGTCACTTGGTTTCTCATCTCAGAGCTGAGGAGGCTGTGCCTTGTCTGAGGCTCTCAAAGCCGTGTCCAGAAGTTCTTGCTGTCTCTCAGGTATGGTGACTATCCGAAACTGCCTGACCGCTCACAGCAGGAGAGGGATCCATGGTATGACTGGGACCACCCAGACCTGCGGTTGAACTGGGGTGAACCGGTAAGAGAACCATGTCCCATTTGCCCTTCCTTCTTTTTCCCTATGTCTTCTGTAGATCAGATGGCACTTTTCTGCCCAAGTGGCCTTTCCTGGTGGCTCAGTGGTGAAGAATCTGCTTGCCACTGCAGGAGACATGGGTTTGATCCCTGATCCAGGAAAGTCCCCTGGAGAAGGAAATGGTATCCCACTCCAACATTCTTGCTGGGAGAACCTCATGGACAGTCCATGGGGTCGCAAAGAGTTGGACATGACTTAGCGACTAAACATCAAAAACACTAAGGTTTTTCTGCCCAAGGAAGCAGGGTCAAGTGCTCTGAGATCTAAGGTTCCCTGTGTGTGTGTGTGTGGAATAGGACTTCTGAGAATAATCGAAGCTCTTGAGTTGTGAATGTTCATGATTGGGACTGTCTCTGATCAGCCAAACCCAGACATAAGCCGGCATCCAGTCCTGTGGTCCAGAGTATCTCAGATGTGGCTCTCAGAATATTGCCCAGGGCAGGAGAATGCCTTTCAAGTCTTGTATGATGCTCTAATCACTCTGGACTGCCTGCCTTTTGCAGGAAGAGCAGTATGTGACAGTGATCTGCCTTTCTGTCTCAGATGCACTGGGACCTGGACATGTATATCAGGAACCGTGTGGACACGTCCCCGACTCCTGTTAATTGGAACCTCATGTGTAAGCACCTCTTCGGGTTCGTCGCCTTCATGCTGTTCATGTTTTGGGTAGGGGAGACTTACCCCGCCTACCAGCCTGTGGTGAGTATCTGAGGAGTGCTCCCTCAGGCACACTTTCCTGAGGGAATGCAGTCTCGGGAGTAGAGATCTACCTGATACCAAGCTTGGCTTCCTGGTGAGGCCTAGAGAGGGCCTTAGCTACTGGCCTGGAACAAGTACTAAAGCACAGCTTTTGCCTGTATCTTGGGTCAGTCTGAGTGAGAAGAAACTGTGGGACTAGGTGAGGAATGAGAATGAAGAAGCCAGCTAGCCTTTAGAGTTGCCCTTTGGTGAAGTGTACTTAACACCATATTTCAGCAAGTGATCTTTTAAGGTAGAGTCCAGGAATCTCAAGTTGAAAGCTTATCCTTTATTGGTGTGAAGGGCATTTTCTATAGGAAGCAATTAAATGTTTACTACAAGCATGGACAGTTAATTTTAGAGAACATGAAGGACATAGCAAATATACTGTCTGTATAGAACAGACTTGTTGCCAGGAGTGCACATAGGGCTGGTATGGGAAAGGGATGGATTGAGAATTTGGGATTAGCAGATGCAAACTAGTATAAATAGAATGGATAAACAACAAAGTCTTATTGTAAAGCACAGGGAACTATATTCAATATCCTGTGATAAACCATAATGGAAAAGAGTATGAAAAAATGTGTATACACACACACACACACACACACACACACACACACACACATAACTGAATCACTTTGCTGTATAGCTGAAATTGACAAACATTGTAAATCAACTATACTTCAATTAAAAGAAAAATGAAAATATACTCTCTAGCTTTGAGGACATTTAATTTGGATAAGAAAATTTAGAGATGTGACGTGAGCAACATTGGAACACATATAGGAATTTGGCACAGTTTTTGTGTATATATGTACATAGTGAAAATATGTGCTTGTGCTGTTATGGAGGATTATGCTAGATGCTAAAACATATTTTTAGATGATGGAGAGAAGTTGAAGAGAACATTTGGGGGAAAAGAAAACAGAATGGAGGAAGAGGACAGTGAGTTAGCTGGAGTGGAATAGGTTTATAAATAGCTCTCCGACAACCAGCTGCACCTGGGGAACTGCTAAAAAGTCCAGATTCCTTAGCTCTTGGAGAGTCTAATTCAGTAACTCCACAGTGGGGTTCTACAATCAATATTTAACAGGTTCCCAGGTAATTTTGATGTGCTGGGAAATCAGGTGTGGAAACTGCTGTGTTAAAAATATTGTGAAGTGCATTTGATCAGTTTGGTTGAGCACCTTTTATTGCGTGGCTGAGAGATCTGGACTTTATGGTATAGTAATGCATTAATTCAATAAATGTTTATGAAGCTCCTGTCATGTACCAGGTACAGAAGGTGCTAAGGGTTGGGAATACACTGATGACTTGGCCTGCCTCTAGGAAGCAGGGAGCCATGTTGGGATTTTCAATAGAAGAATGCTGTAATGATGCCTAGGTTTTTAAAAGATTAACCTGGGAATAGTCTACAGGGCAGAGTGTGAGAAAGGTACTAAAAGCAGGAGGCTGCTGTGTCTCCAGTTGGCTGCACACTGCTACCTCTGCTGAGATAGGCAATGTCCTAATGGTAGCTCGTATGTCTGTGCACTGACACAAGCCTTCCTACCAAGCCCCAGGGGCCCCAGGCTGGAGAGTGCGCATAGGGCTGGTGTGAGCACTAACCACTTCAGGAGAGCAAGAAACGCAGTGTGGCTCCTCCATTTTTCAGTTCTGTAAGCACATCACCCTTTTCTCCTCCCCTTGAGCTGTGTTCTCTGACAGCTGTTTGTTGGTAAAGCCAGCAGCCCCTAAAGCACGTCCAAGCCATGTTTCCTCTGTGCTTTCCCCCACTACTGCTCTTGCACGCCTCATTTGCTAGGCCACTTTAGTGGTGGAACCATTAGAGGCTGAGTGACTTAAAGGAGATTGAGTCTGTCTCAACCCCGAGAGAGTAGGATGGATGGATGCATCGTCTCATTTAGAAAGCTTCCCTCATGCTCTCCCTTTCTCTCTCCCTTTCTCTCCCTCCTTCTCTTTCTCTCTCACACACACATACACTGTAGGCACCATTTTTCTTATACACACACATAGACACACTCTCTACTTCTCTAGGCACCCCTTCTCTTAAACACACACACACACACACACACACTCACTCACTCTCTCTGTTTCTGTAGGCACCACTTCTCTTATAATCTAAGCTTTCTCACTGCCTTGGACTGAGGTGGGAAAAAGAGTGCTGTCCCTGCTGTTCTGGCCCAGCTGGGTCTGACCAGAAGCTACTGTGTACCTGTTTACTATGTGTGATTCTTCACTCGGGGTAGGCTGTGGCCAGGTGTTGGCTGGATATATGTTGTTCTTGCTGACCTGTGTTTTTTCCTTAGGGGCCAAAGCAGTATCCTTACAATAATCTGTATCTGGAACGAGGTGGTGATCCTAACAAAGAACCTGAGCCAGTGGTTCACTATGAGATCTGAGGAGGCTTCGTGAGCTTTGTGTTCCCTAACTGACTCCTTCAACTGGAGAAATTTAACTTTAATGAAACCCCTAATAAAACTTAGTGCTGTGGTATCTGTGCCTCATTTCCCCCGGGAATAGCTACTGCTTAAGCATGACTCATTTGAAAAGACCCTGATGATGGGAAAGATTGAGGACAGGCGGAGAAGGGGATGACAGAGGATGAGATGGTTAGATGGCATCAACCGACTCAATGGACATGAGTTTGGGTAGACTCCGGGAGTTGGTGATGGACAGGGAGGCCTGGCATGCTGCAATCCATGGGGTCGCAAAGAGTCGGACACAACTGAGCAACTAAACTGAACTGAAGCACAAGAAGATGTTGATTTGTTAATTTTGTTGGGAAAGGTAGTTGAGGGTTCCAGTTGTGTTATGGGTAGCTCCCCATTTACAGGGTTTTCGATTTCTGAAGTTGGAACAGATTTATTTTCCATAAAAAAACTTTTTAATAATAGTAGTTAGTGGAGAAGGAAATGGCAACCCACTCCAGTATTCTTGCCTGGAAAATCCCATGGATGGAGAAGCCTGGTAGGCTTCAGTCCATGGGGGTCGCAAAGAGTCGGACACGACTGAGCGACTTCACTTTCAGTGAGATTTGTGAAATTGCCTTAGAGGAAGCTATCAAGTATATGATGAAGGGGTTTTGTTTGTTTGAAAGAATATTAAATTTTACTGATACCCCCCTCCTTAATTAAAAAAAAAAATAGTAGTTAGCTAAAAAATGTGTACTCTTAACATGTTTCAAAATACTATAGGATAAATAGGTGTTCTATGACAAGCCTAGGGCTGTGATTCCCTCTAATTTTGTATGTATCTCTTATAAGAATATGTATTAACAACAGCATTGTAAATCAACTATACTTCATTTTAGAAAAAGAGAATATGTATTCCAAAGCAGCTTCTGAATCCTAGAGTGTTATAAGTTGACATTACCTATATTTATGAATTAGAGGATAGTCACTGAGTTATTACTGAAACTATGCATGGCTTTCATTACCTTAATGATTGATCCAAGCTCCTATAATAGCCTTTAGAAAGAGAAAAACCATATTTTTGAGGGTCTATCTCAATGTATCTGTTAAAGAGAACCAATTTATGTTCTTTTCTTCCCTTTAGGGACATTTTCTTAAATTACAATGATGCTGCCTAAAAACCTGTCCCATAAAAAAGTATACATTCAGCATAATCTGTGGAAGTGAGTCCATTCACGGTAGATAAGGGGTCCTTTACAGGTGTGAAGACAGTGAAAGACGTTTATGAGATCAGGGAGTGGGTCTGCTGAAATGCCTCTCTGAAGGCCTCCACTGCTTTTTATGTCTTCATTCTCTGTCCTTAGAGCATTTGATAACCATTTAACAAACGTCTGCCTAATATATATGACACTGATAGGCCTTGGGGATATAAAGTTGAACAAGAAAATAATTGCCTTCAATGAGTTACCTAGAAGAGAAGACTAGCATTTATAAAACAAGGTGAAAAGAATTTCTAAAATGTCCCAATTGCAGGAAGAGTGTTTTGTGTTTTTTTAATCATGTCCTACTTGAAACTAACCTTATGCCTTTGCTTCAGATTTCTTTCAGAACACTTCAGTGACACCTTGGCCTCATTCCCTCCTTTGAGTTGTTGCCTGAGGTTCAGTTTTCAATCCTGTTTGTTATCCACTGTTGTGCTGAGAAATTCAAGAAATAGTACATAAAAAGAGTGGGCAGGCACCACCAGTACCCTATATTCTTTTCTGTTCTGAGTTCAAAACTCCCATATCCATGTGAAAAGGAAATTCAGAGCTGTGTCACAAAGACTTGGGGCCCAGCCGTCAGCTCACCATCTTTGGAGGTATATCAGACTGGACTACAGTAGAATTCATGCATTATAAGTTTTGCATCAAAATAACTTAGGTCTAAAATCTTCAGCTGCCTACAGAACATTTTATTTGGAAATGCCATAATTCCCTCAATCAATAGATATATATGATCACAGATACCCCTGCCAACTGTTTACCTATATCAGTCACAAGAGCCTGTTCAGCTATTACAATCTATTAATCCAAGAGTTCATCACCTGGTACCTGAATTGTTCTGTTAGTCTCATAATTTGATTCCCTGCCTCCAGTTCTATTTTCTCTGTAAGGGGATCCATATTGCTAGTGATATAATCTTACTGCATGTTGTTCAGTCACTAAGTTGGTTCCAACTCTTGCAACCCCATGGGCTACACTCTGCCAGACTCTGTCCACGGTATTTCCTAGGGAAGAAAATACTGGAGTGGGTTGCCTTTTGCTTCTCCAGGGGATCTTCCCAACCCAGGGATCAAACCAGCGTCTCCTGCATTAGCAGGCAGCTTCTTTACCCCTAAGCTGCCGCATCTACCTATAATTTTCAGTAACTCCCAATTACCTGCAGAGTGGAATTAGTATTCCACAATCTGTAGTCAGCCCACTTCCCCAACAGTGGCCGCTTTCATTCACAGTATGGGAAATGCCAGGGTGCCTATCAGTCTGTTGGGCCCTTTTTTCCTTGTTGGGACATCACCTATCTTCGTCAAACTTAAACATGTAACACCTGTCTCGTCTCTGATACCTTCCGGGTAGCCCCTGGTCTACAGCACCTCGCCCTCTGCCCATACACAGCCCTTGGGAGCACCAGTTTTCGGTCTGCCGCAGAAAGTCACTCTGGTGTGCCTGTGCGGGCTAAGTCGTTTCAGTCGTGACCGATTCCGTGTGACCCTGTGTACTGTAGCCCGCTAGGTGCTTCTGTCCACAGGCTTTTCCAGGCAAGGATACTGGAGTGGGTTGCCATGCTCTCGAATCTTCCCAACCGAGAGAAGGAAGCCGCGTCTCACGTCCCCTACATTAGTAGGTGGGTTATCGCTAGCCCCACCTGGCCTCGATTGCTTTTCACCTTTTCAGCTTAGTGGATTCCACAGAGCGCTCCTGGAGCTAGGACCAGGTCTTTTCCGCTTCAATTAGTATTTTTCCCTTTTCAGAGGATACCCCCGGAGCCTAACTCGAATATCCCAGAACTTTCATAGTCGTGGGATCTGATCCACTGCATAATCACAGGACAGATGAGGGAAGCCCCATTAAAAGTTACATTTCTACGAGGGAACGTTCTCCGTGGGTTGTCCGGGTTTCGGGCCTGGCGTCTGGCGGCGCCTGTGGGCGGCGGTGCCCGCGGCCTGGACTACTTTTGGCCCTCCGCAGCCGCCGTCCACAGCACCCGCTGAGCTCCAAAGCCCTGAGGAAACCGGCTCCTTACTCCAGCTCTGCAACGCCAGACCAGTGAGCCGGACTCTCCGCGCAGGTTGGTTTTCCCCGCCTGTCCGGGGCTCCTGAGAGCAGAAGGCGCGCCGAGGACCCAGAGCGCGGTTCCTCTCTCGCGAGAGTCGGGGGGCGCTCGTCCTCGGCGGAGACCCCGGCCCACCCGGCTCCCGCTTGGGGGCTCCGACCGGTGTGCCTCTCAGGGGGCCCCACGATGCCCGCCCTGCTCTTGGACTGCAGCCGGCTCACTCTCCTTGCGGCGCCCGGGCCCCGCAGCCCGACGACGATCTTTCTCCAGCGCTGCCCTCGCGCTTCCCTCAGCAGCCCTGGGCCCTGACCTGTCCGGGGCCCAGAGTCGGCCGCGGGTCTCTGCGTCCCGCCCGGGCGAAAATGCCCGTCGGTGCTGACGCCGGTGAGCCGCGGGGAAGGCCGACAGTCCTCCAGAGAGGGAGTGGACAGCCAAGGAAGGCTGGCTTTCCCCCTTCACTGCACCAGTGTATCCAGCTCTTGGTTACATGATCCATAGCTCTCCCCACCTTTGACACTCCCAGGCCCCACCATTCTGACCGCATCGGGGACCATTTTTGCCAACCATTTTTGCCATCTACTCTGAACAAAGTAGATGACAAGCCTATCTTCTCAATTTGTAGGCTGTCTGGGATTTAAACACTATGGAGTTTACTTTAGACTGGTATAATGGTTAAAAGCAACGGGCTCTGAAGGCTGGTTGGGATTCACAGCTTGGCCTAGCTAGTTTTCTTCCCTGTAAAATGGGGATAGTAACAGCACGGAACCATTGTTAGAATTAAATGGGAGGTGCACGTTAAGTGCACTGAGCTAATTGTAGCTCCCACTTAGAGATCTTTCTCCAGAAACGTGAAAATAATCTTGACCAGCAGGTGGCACTGGTGACCGTATAGTATGATGTGCAAACTCGTCAGAGGGGTCCTGGTGTAGCCTGAAGTGTTTAGAGGTGCCTGGGAAGTCTTGGTTGAGTTGGCAGCCCTAAGCTTTCTTCAAGCTGGACAGTACATTCGAGATTAAAAAAGCTTTTGTTTTTTTTTGGTCAAGACTAACCTGGCTCTGGCTTGCTCAAGCAGGTCACAGTGGGTCCCAAGTTTACTCCATGAAGTTGTTTTTTTGTTTTTGTTTTTTTAACTTTCTTGCTGCTTTGCTAGCCTGTTGGAATGGCACCTTGAGTATGTGTTAGAATTGGTTTGGAAACCCAAGTTAAAATAAATGTCTGCATTCATTCATAAAATATTATTGAACACTTACTATGTGCTAAACATTGTTCTGACACTAGGTATAACATGGTGAGCAAAGCAGACACAGTGGTAGCCTTCATGGAGTTTACTTATTAGTGTACAACACCAACAATGTAGATGTAAATAAATATACAATTTCAAATTGCTAAGAAGCAAAAAATACTGTTTTGGATTGGGTGACTCACCTCCTTGAGGAGGTGAGAAGCTGAGCCCTGAAAGATGTGGTAAGGAACCACTTACTCAGAGAATGAAATAAAAAGCTTTCAAAGTATAGCAAACCTAATTTACAAAGCTCTAAAGTGGGGAAAAGTCAATAAATTAAAAGAAAAGACTAATGCAGATGGAACCAAATAAGTAAGGGGGAGAGTAGCAAGAGAGGAAGTTGAAGTGGTAGTTGTGAGCAGGGCTAAAGGGGGTTTGTGTCTTATTGAGTGTGATAGAAGCCACTGAAAAACTTTAAGCATGGAATGCCAAAATCCTATTTTTGATTTTAAAAGTTTACTCTTACTCTGTGCAAAGAAAGAATTGGG